TGCCCATTATTGTATTAATGGCTACTGGGACTGTTGCGATTCTAAGTGAGCCCAGGTCCGATGCTTCTTCCAGTATGGCATCTTGCTGGATGAGGGACCCAGCTAGGCTTAATATGATGGCGCGTGCCTCTTGGTTTTCGGCTCTAATTGCGAAGCCAGTTGGAACACGGTATACGTGCTCAATATTGGCTTGAGGAATTTCAAGCACTTTTGCCACAGCCTCTCTAACACCAAACGGTGATAGCTTTCTCCAAGGGTGTTCATTTCCAAGGCGAAGAAACAAGCGTTCATCTTTCATGGCCGATTGCGTTGGGGTGGTCGGGTTTTTTGACGGCCGCGTCGAGTTTGCCGCCTTTGGCATAGCCTGTGCGACTTTTGTAGCTGCCGGGGGAGTCTTTATACCGGTGCGGGTGATTGACGCCCAAGTGGTTTTGGCCTGGGAGACTTTGTCATGAGTCACTTTACTTTGTGGCTCATCCTGCTTTTTGGTAGCACGTTCTATAATCTTGCTGCCAGTAGCCTGGCTTTCGGGGCGTGGGGGAAGTGATGGGAGGACTGTACCTGGTCCCGCGATCATAAATTGAGCTATTGCAGCTCTAATGTAAACTTTCATAGAGTCTAAAAATTGAACACTCGACCCTTTGGATAGGGGGGACAGAGCATTCTCGACACCGTTTATTGCAGCGGTGCAAATTTTTACATTTTCCGCAGTTTTTGCGGCCCGGCGTTCCTCAGCCTCAATCAAGGCTCTGAGTTCGGGGGGGCATTCCTCCGTCTGCCTGCCTTCATTTCCACTGCGAGGAGAAGGTTTCTCTTCTGTGGTTCCTGGTGTATGTTCCAGGGGGTTCGGGGTAGATGCTGCACCTTTTGACTTGTTAGCATCTGTAATCGCAGCCCGCCTCATAGCTGGCACAGCGACTTCAATGAGAGGAAGTGTATGCTGTCCGGTAGCCGCTGTCCCTAAATTGTTGCGACTCGTCGCTGCATTTTCAGCTCCGGTCGCATCTGGCTTGGAGTGAATTGAGTTAGGTAGTCTTTTCAGATTCTTAAGAATCTTGTCAATGTCAAAGTTGCCAACATCTATCATGTCGCAATCTGTGGTACTTTCGTCGATTAATTGGTCGATGTTCATCTCTTGAACGGCAGTTAGTGGGCCCAACTTGACGCTTGCTTTCTGTCGAGCAACGTGTTTGAGGTGCTTGCGGTTATCTACGATGTCTTTCGCCCGCGATGGCTTACTGCGAACTGGGGGCATATTGGTAGCCTGCCAGTCGCTCACAAATTTTGAATTAAGGGCGTACGATATCGAGAGAGGGAGGGAGAGGGGGAAAGGGTGAATATTCGAAAATTCGAATTTCAAAAAATTGTGTGTATGTGTTTGTGTTTATTGTGCTACATGAGTCATGACTATGTAGCACATTGGGCTCCTCTCTGACCCAGGCCACACCTTGTACAGTGCTCCTATCCTCTTTTGTAACTTGAAAGATCATTGATATATTCCCCTTGATGAATAGCCATTCAGCTCAGTATTTACCCGTGGAATTCAGCCACCTTTTCCACGGAACCTTCTACCCAAAAAAAATAAAAATGGTAGCAATGGAAACTGCGTGCGCGGGAAAAAGTCTCAAAAAGCCTGCAGCCCCAGCCAGGCGAGGCCTAGACACCGGGACCACATGAGGTGCGCATATTCATCTATATCTCCCTTCTTTGTAACAGTCGAGGCCGACTTGATCCAATCCATCATCTGACCTGTTCGTGGTTAGCTTCATGATAATGGTGATGGGGGAATGTGTTGAGAGATGAAGACGATACAGACCGCGTAAGCGATTGGGGATCCTCGTCGAAGTGAGGACTTTGTTACTCAATCTCGGCTCTGCTGGCTCTACAGTGAGAGCCGGAGGTTCGTAGGGGACATAACTGAGAGGTGTTGAGAATAGTCCCCCCATCACGTCTTGTTTTACTTAGTATTCATCATGTCCCCTGATGGATGGGTCTTTAGTTATAACTAGTGCCCGGTAGACATATAAAAAAAAAAAAAAAGCTCTCTACAAAGATAACTATCAAGCTGGTTCCCCTAGGGCGACGCACGTTAGGATATCTACTACCTGAACGGTGCAGACATGGCGATTTTGCCAAATATCATGAAATATTCAAGCATGAAGATATTGAAGTCAAGTGTGAATGTGGACGAAAAAGATTCCTATGGCATTCTATAGAATGCCGATCGGCTCAACAGCGTTGGAAAAGTACGAAGAAGTGACCCCTCCCAGGTGCAAGCAAGATGTTTGGGGGAAAAGGATGGGAGAAATCCCTAAAATTCATGACTATACCGAGATATTGTAGTGGTAAAATCTTGGGTCGGACTACATTGGCTCCTCTGGTGGAATCGGTTGTTATTCTTTTTCAACTGCCGGGAAGAATGGTACAGGGCGCCTTTGTGCGGACACACTATATTGTTTATCCTGTGTCTTCCATTTTATCTAGTTTTTATGGCGTTTAAAGCCATGCACGAAGATAATAGTGAGTCTGTCATAGTCACATACTCTTGTCACTCCACTTGGGCGTAGGCCGCATGCCTGATACGAATAGTAGTCGAATCGAATCAAATCAAATCTCTCCCTCTCCATCCCTGCCATATTGGCGTAGACAGTACAAAGACAAGGCATTAATACCGCAATTCTATGAGTTACCATGAACCTGGCTAGTAAATTGACAAGCGTTTCACATATCATCTGAATGATGGTCTTCATAGTTAACTATAACCAAGTCCAACAAAACTTTCTATTCAACTAAACAGTTAGCAATGAAAGCTGCGAATGCTGGAAAGTTTCTCAAAAGAGCTTCAGCCCCGACTAGGCAAGGCCTGGAAACCAGAGCCGCAAAAGGTGCGCATATTCTCCTATATCTAACCTTTTTTGTAACACGAGAGGCCAGGTTGATCCAATATATCATTGCACTACCGGGAGCTAGAGATTTATAAGGGAAACCGCTGATAGGTGTTGAGTTTTCGACTCACGACAAAAAAATTTATTATTCAATCAACCTAATATGACGCTCTGCGGGCCAACGCGGGTATTTACGGAATATTTGAAATTCAGGTGATGATCTCATTTTGAATGTTTCGAACAGTTATACTCGGATTTTATTAGCAGATAACACATGAAGTTAAGTGTTACGGCATCTAACGCCTTACGTATGTAGTCATCACAGGTAAAAGCATAAATGCCCCGATGTTATTCGAGTGTGCTTTCGTCACCTTGCAAGTACAGCCACATCACGCGAGGATATGCTACTTTTGTCTCATCGGATTAGGATCATCTGTCTCCTGTCACAAGTGGGGTAGGTGTGCAAGCTACTCTAGAATCTACTCTGGAAAACGGCTCGAATTGTTTACTATTGGAACGCCTGGCCTGATATTCTATATTTACTGGGTATCGGGCTACTATACCTAAGGTCTACTATACATACTAGTAGTTCGGACCTACGAGATAGCCATAATTCACACCTACACAATCTGAGCTTGCTTCGAGTTTTAGATATTTTAATCTTCGAGAATGACAGAATTCAATCTATTGATTCAAAGGGGCTTCCTTTGTATTTTGCATTGAAAATTTTTAATATCATGTCCCATCATTTCTGTTACCAGCCTATTTATCAACTTAGCTATCACGATTTCTAACCTACCTTGTCACCTAATTAGCATGTTCTCCTGGAAATAGCCTTTAATAACTATCAAATATCCCTGTGTTTTTTATTCAGGCAACATCCTCATGTAGCCTGATTAGTGGAAGATCATCAAAGGCAGACGCGCTCAGTTCCAGGAGCAATTTCGTTGCTTCACATCGACGTTTCTTTCAGGATCCACAAACAAACGCCCTACATTCTACGGGGAAAAAGCGCGTGGTTATACAAGCCGCGTCTTACGTTTAGATCACTCGCTCACATCCTAACATCAGTTCTTTTATTTAAAAAAGAGAACTAGATTATTTTATATCGTTAAAGTACTGTTATCATAAGACACATATTTTAACTGTAGTTTATCAAGTATATCGACTCAATATATACTTGCATGGTGCCACAGTTGTCATTGCTCTGGGTTCTCCTAGCTAATAGGTACAGACTGGGGTTTGTAGGCAAGTAGCACAATAAACAGTCGTGAAATCCATTGAATTTCAAGGAAGAACAAATTGTTCGGACAAATCCAGAGCTTGTCATTAGCGCTTGCAGTATTAAGGTAAACAAATCTTCATATATCCTTAACGCCTCTACCACAATTCCATTTTCCTAGGGTATATCACAACAGACCTTTGCGCCCTTACTTTCATGACCATTCCGAAAATTAAACAAAGTTCTAGATCTAGATTCTAGAAATTGGAAAGAGGAAATCTCCATAGAAGTCGATGTTCTAGGACCTCTGCTTTCAAAAATATACACCTTCTCACACTAAGTCAAGAAAAGTTTGTTCTTGTCCTACAAACACTTCCACAAAATATCCACCTATATTTGACAACCTATAAATAATTTTTATCTGTGGTACGTTCTAACATCTTTAGGACCTCAAAACAACCTTTTCGGGGGGTTATTTTGAGACGGCTGTTTCTAAATCTTAAGCTTTAAGCTACCATGAAAGACTACATGTGATTTCCATCGAGAAATTCGATAGATATTAATGATTTCTGGTATGTTGAAAACGAATAGCTCGACTGCTTATCAAACTTTCAATGTCCAATTACTGATCAATTATGAAACAAGAAGTATTGCATGCTTGTCAGCATATAAAAACATTTAATTTTCTGCGAGTTACTCTTTCATTCAGAAAAATCGACATGAACTAGCCTTAACATAACACTATCATCGGCTCCTCAAATATTCGAAGAATATAGTGTGATTCTGATCTTACACCACGAGCAAGAACGAAGTTTTAGCATATCCAACCAGAATTGTGGCTTATGGGACCTGGCATGAAATATTGCTCGTGAATATCAAGAAAAATTCTCATCATGCCGTCACTCCGGGCCTCCCTACCCCTTAGAAGTTCAGATTTTGATAACAACACAACAAAAGAAAAGGTAAACATTAGACCTGGTCGGAGAACGAGCGAAAGAGTAAGAAAGAGCCTTGGAAGTTGGAAAAGTACATTGGCTCAAAGTAAGAAACCTGATAACTCACACGGCAAAAAATCATGCTCTACATCCTTTGAAATCTCGGGAACTTCCCCTACACTAATTAACAATCTTCACAAGAGGCGCCGATTGACTCGGGACCTCAGAAACGCTCATCATCGTTTAGAGCCAGTAAACCTACAGGCTTCACACTCAGAAAGTCGATGCTCTCCTCGATTTCTTCCTGCTGACAAATATGAGTTCAGTGATCCACGTTCGTTAATTTGGAAAGGAAGATCTTCAAATTTTGCTGTGGTTGTGCCAACTCGATCCCTGGATGTTAATAAATCTATCTCGCAAGGACCACATTCCATTAAATACTCTCTTTCAAGCCGCAAAACGATAGAAACTAGGCTTCAAAGTTATTCTGAAAGGACTTCATCCGATGAACTGAGCTCCTCTCGTGTCCATTCACAAAATAGTATGTTATAAAAATTTCATCTTATAAAACGCCTATCTTAGTCTTCTTTCAAATTTCGGATTGTATAAATTACTATTTTCCACTAGTTTTTCAGCAATATTCAGGCTCGTTTACCTTCATGACTATCATCATTTTCTTGGATAGGTTAAGCCAGCTTAACATCGTATGATGACTAATGTCTTCAAAATACTTATTTTCAAAATTCTTCATATACCCAGGTGGTAGGAATTGATCAAATTAAATCTAAAATTGACCAAAAAATATCTAAGCTAATATTCATTCATAATTTGGGGCAATATTTTTGATCAAGATAATTATCAAAATTTTGAAAATTATCCTAGCACTCCGAACAAGTGTTCAAATGACCGCTCCAGCTGGAAAATCTTGATTTTTTAAGAAAGGTGACCAAGATCTTTACTTGGTATACCGTGGGTCTCTAAAGAATAAATACTAGTTCGTCTTGATTGAGGGTAAATTCGATTGATCTCCTTCATAAAATAATTCGTCAACCTATATTTCAACATGATCATTTTTGACGCTGTATATCATCAAACTATTCATTAATTTACATTTATCTTTATCATTTCTCGAAACAGAGTAAATTTCGAACACAAATTTTAGCTAATCAACTCGACCTTGAAAAACCTCAAATTAATTGGTCACATGAAGCTCAAGTGACTTAGTTTATGAGTGACAAAAAACATGATTTTTACAACAGGAATCACACGCATGACCGCAGTTTCATGTTGCTAATAGTATAAACAGACTACAAAGCTCTTCATCAGCGGTCCACTCGTGCTACACAAAATAAGCTTTTTCAGGGCTCTAGCAGATCTCTTATGTCAAATACGCTGAAAGAATTAAATCCAATCAAACCGATCACAAAAGATGACAGCGATACAGAATCTGACACGTCTACTCACTCCAGGCATTCTACAAGTAGCGATGGAAGTGAAATACTGGTTCAGGAGGTCGACAATTCCCAAGATGAAGACTATATATTTGACAACTCTCATGATGAACTCTACAACTCTTCAGATTCAAAAGAGTTCGAAATTGAAGATCATGATTCAATTAGTGATTCCAATGATTCTGAACCTAGTAAAAATTGCGATTACTCATCGAGTGAAGAACTGAAGGGTAAAAAAAATACCGAGAATAACAAGTCTAAGAAATTTTCTTCAATTTCCAAAAATTCTCAATCAAAAGAAAAAGAAAATGGTAAGATATGTCATGTCCATCATGAAAAATTCATTGAAAGCTAACTTAACTAAAAGTCACATATCAATCCTTAAAAAAAATGCATACGATTTCATCTAAAAAATACTTTGACAGTTGGGCCGGATTCAAGCTTGGGTATGACAATTCAAGGGAGCCTCTGGCCACTATCGACTCAATCTTTGAACATTTAACTGGCGAGTTTGTTAAAAATAATTTGTTCACTTCCATGATCGAACATCTTAACGGTCGATCTCTTAGAATTGCCACAATGTGCTCAGGCACGGAATGTCCAGTAATTGCGTTGGAGTTTATCTGCGAAAGTAAGTAAATTTCAACTTATTAACATACCATTAAGCTTACTCTTAAGTTCTCGGAAAGATGGGTGAAACCCTCAATTTCGAGCATGTATTCAGTGCAGAAATCGAACCCTTCAAACAAGCTTACATCAGTCGAAACTATCCTGATTTGCTTGTTTTTCGGGATATATGTGAACTTGCCCGCTCATATGCCGCCAATAAGATGGCGTGAGTTTCATCTTAGCTACAGGAGTTACGTACTGACGAAAATTCAGTACAACTGCACTAGGAGGGCTAGCACCCGTACCTGGAAATATTGACTTACTCGTAACTGGGTTTTGCTGCGTTGATTTTTCGAATTTGAATAATTGCCCCAAAACTCTTATGGAAAGAGGAGAATCAGGTGATACATTCTGCGCAACAGTAGCTTTCATCTTGAAAGGGAAACCAAAAATTGTTATCTTCGAAAATGTACTGGGTGCCCCCTGGTCTGACGAAAAACTTCGAAATGATCAAAAGTCCAAGATTAGGTCCCAGTACCAAAAGAAGATGAAAAAAAAACTTGGAGACAGTGAGCTTGATGACCTATATGATTTATTGGTAAGGGAAGAAAGGATTGGAGAAGGTATCGATTCTACCATGGAGAAAGCCGGATACTCATGTCAGCTTATAAAAATTGACACCAAGGATTTTTATATCCCGCAAACTCGCCAGAGAGGTTATATGCTATGTGTTCGAAATGATATATTAGGATCCATCGAGACAAAAGCTAGCGAGAGTAGAACTAAAGTAATCGCTAAGAACCAGATGGAAAAATGGGCAGCATGTGTTTCTTCCTTTAAGCATCCAGCCACCGTATCCTGCGAGGAGATGCTCTTGGCTGTTGCCGATGAAACTGCTGTTCCTGTTGAACGATTGGAAGAGATAGAAGAGGAAAAAGACAAGGTCAAAGCCTGGGTACGGAGCGCTGAGGAGCATACACGCTATCGAACTGACTTAGGTCTTGGATCTAGTCGTCCTTTAACTTCATGGCTAGAGTCTGGATGGAAATTATTACCTGATTTTCATGCATCAACGAAGATTTTCACTGAGCGAGTTTTGGACTGCCTTGAGATAGCGCACTTGAGAAATGTACGGCGGGGCTTTGATGATCGGTACTACTCGTAAGTTATATTCACACTGAGATATATTCTTGGGCTAAATTTTTGAAGGCGTATGCTTGAGCTTTCTCAAAATTGCTTCAGGGTTACTGATATAACCAAGACAGGAATTATGCCATGTTTAACTCCCAGTGGAATACCCTTTTGGAGCTGCGCAGGCCGTCGTTTGACAGGGAGAGAGACATTGACACTTCAGGGTATTCCTGTTCACAGGATTGATCTTTCTTTCCTAACGGAGACCCAATTACGCGATCTCACAGGAAATGCCATGAGCTCTACTGCGGTTGGCGTTTGCATTATATCGGCCCTACTAAATTTTACTAAGTATCTTGAGCCAGGATTTGGAAGGAAGAGTCTGCACCAAAAAGCCAATTTTCCAAATTTCGAAGAAAAAGATTTACACTTTTCTGAAACGGATCCCGAGACAACTAAAATAATTATTTCTGTATCTGATGTAATAAAACATGCTGGCATGAGTGCTAAACTCTGCTGGTGTGAAAAAAGTGACGAGATTTTGAGTAGAAAGTTTAAAAAATGTTGTATATGCCAGCATACAATCTGTCAACTTCATGCTGGAAACCCTAAGCATGATTACAAAATTTTAACTTCATCCAGAAGTCCTCCTTATAAATTTGAGAGGATCTTGAATCAAGCTCTTCCAAAAAAAATTAGTTTGAGCTTTGTGGCGGATAGAATATCAATAGAAAACTTTCTACCAAAGGACCAGTACGACTTTGAAATCGATCAGCTGCAGAGTATTTATTTTAAATCGCTCAAATCAGACTTTTGGCTCACAAAAATTAAGCGTTCTGATATCTGGGAAATTTTTTATGAGTCTTCGTCTGCAAGGTATATACTAAATATTTCTGCAACATCAGTTGAGTGGCTCCTTTACGCCAAGCCCCCTCAGCATCTATCTGTCGAAAATTCTACACGTCAGCACTTAGCAAGATATCCAATCGCACAAATGACACCTCACTTAAAAGATATTACGTATGGCTCATGGTCGTTCTGGGTTCCTGCGCGCCGAACAATATCTGCAAGAATTGAGTGGACAGGAGAACTTGTGCCATCCTTTAAAAACGATATTGGTTTAGCGGACGATCATGAAGTTGAAATTTTTAGCATCTGGCGTGTGCACGTGGATCATGATGCTGATCTTCTAGATCTCAGTGGAGATTATCATCTTCAAAAAAATTGTGGCCAGGCCATGAATTCTCTCCATGTCCGCAAAGAATCTGCCACTCGTCCACGGTTATTCTTATTTTTGGATCATGATAAAAAAACAGGAGACTATAAAGAGCATCACTACATTTTTAGCTTAGATGCTAGGGATCTCGAATATGGTATACATAGAAGAGTTATAGCTCGCCTTCCAGCCTACATTGGCGAGCCTGAAGTCAAAAAAATTCCCTGTGGTTTGTCTTTTAAGTACATGATATATCGCATGAATCCGCTCGAGAATCCTAATAGTCCTGAGCATGCGACACTCACAAGCGAGCCACCCAATTTGTCTCAATTAGGAGTAAATGTAACTGTTGACGGAAATTGGTACAAGGTTCCGATCCGCAATCTTTCTTCTGATGCCGATAGTAGACTTCAGGGGAAAGTTACGATAAGTTATGGCAATTTGTTAAATCCTGAGGCTCTTCATTCTTTAAATCAAGGCTCATGTTTGCAGTCAAAAGCTGTGTTCACGTGTAAAGCCAAAGTGCCTTCACACATTCCCGAACTCTTCCAAAAGGGGGTTTGGAATCAAGTTTCAACTAAAAATATGCGGGATGTCTTCCATCATTTATATGGTTTTCTATCTGACGGTCTAATAATACCTTTTTACATTGAGGAGAAAGAAGAATGGCATAAACTAACAGCTAATCAAATAAACCGATGCAGTAAATGTGCACCAGTTCCCCCTCCAATTTTGTGGCACTTAAATGAAAAGCAGATTCCCAAGCCATTTGAAAACCTTGCCCAGGCCTGTGATTACGAGAAAAATTTGAAAAATCGACCTGCGACAATGTCGCAAATATTTATGATCGACGATAAAAATATTCTCACCTATAAGATTGGGATTAACTTTCAGAGCTTGATTCATCGAGCAGCTTCTATTTTCACGACTGGAAATATAACTTCTTCATGGCGCTTCATTACTGACAATCACACTATGACTAGGCCTCCAATGCCAACATTCAAGATAAAGGACACTACAGATATGACTCCAATACAGCAGTGGAAGAACGAAAAGTACCCCCTCCGCCTTGAGCAGCGTCGAAGTATTGCCTGGCAAATAAGACGTGAATTAAACGCCGAGATATTTGTGGAACAAGAAATAGTAGAGGATGGTATTACTCATATAGGCTATCAGGCCTTAGCGAAAGCCTCGCGCGAATCGAAAGTGTTAGGAGGTCTCCTTGCTCATGAAGTAGGTTTCGGTAAGACGATTATCATCCTAGCTTTGATCGGTTACCAAACTGATTTTGATCGCTCATGGGGCGAGAAAATCAACGATGAGAAAATTTATTCAAAAGCTACTGTTATTTTTGTCCCATCAAGTCTTACGACCCAGTGGGCTAATGAGATCAACAAGTTCTTGCCACACTTTACCAAAATTCTTACTATTAGAAATATGAAAGATCTCCGAGGATGTAACATTGAACAAATTAAGAACGCTGAAATAATAATCGTAAACAGTGGTATTCTACAAAATGAAGGATATTTATTCGATTTATCTCAAATTTCTGGCATGCTTGTTCCTGACTGGGATGCGTCATCAAGGGCTAAAAAGACATGGCATGATACTGCAGTTACTAACATCGCAAAAAGTATCAGGACCTTGAAAGATGATTCACAAGACCTTACATCATATTTAAATCGTAAACTCAACATCAGTTGGTCAGAGGCACAGGGAACTGAGCGCCCGTACCCATCTAGACGCTACACGGGGCGGCAATACATAGAAAAAAAGATGAAAGTAACGAAGAAAGAAATAAACAAGTTAGAATCTACTAATGAAACTGAGCCAGGCAAAAGAAAAAGAAAGATTGGCGATGAAAAGAAAGATAGAGGTCCAATACTAGTAGAGAATAAATACCCAAAAAAAGGGCAAAAATGGACATCAATGACCCATGTTGTTTTTGAAATGTTTTCGTTCGCTCGCATAGTTATTGATGAGTACCATTACCTCAGTGCTGGACAAGTGATAAGTATTGCAGGTATTGAGAGTAATAGTAGATGGCTACTCTCAGCAACGCCCCTTTTGGAAACATTTGAGCAGTTCAAACAGATAGCTCAAATTCTTGGAATCTACCTAGGAAGAGATGATTTCTCAACCATGGCCCCAGAGGTTTTCAGAGCAAGAATGTCAGACATGACTAGTATGTTTCGCACCAAAAGTATGCTCGAGCATGTGCTAATTCAAAGTCAGCAAGTGAACGATTTCTCGCTTTCGACAAGCCATCATCGCCTGCTTGGCTAAAAGCACGATATAAACAGATGCAGCTATTTTTAGACACCTTTGTGCGCAAAGTAATTCTTTTCGCCATTATTGTTTCAGTATCAGTACTGACAATATATAGGATATAGCTGTTTTGTCAGATTTTGACACTGAAGAATGTGTTCATCTAGTTCATCAACCAGTCGCGGAGAGGGCTTTTTACATTGAGCTAGAACAATTTCTCGCGGCAAACCAATTCCAAATGCCAAGAATGAGGGAGACCAATTCTGAAAGCGAATATCAGATTCATCTTACACTTGGAAAATTTAAAGTAGCAGAGCAAGCCCTCTTAAATGGAGCATCATTCTACAGTGTGCAGGCTTATACAGCTCATCAGTTAGACTATGAAATCATGCCAGAGACTATTGACATCTCACTCTACAATCGAACCTTGGATCTAGAAACCATCAAGAAGAAAATATTTAGGGATATGCAGCGCGCTGAATGGCTCCAAGCTAACTTCTCGGAATGCAGTGATATTCGGAATTATAAGTCTTTTAAACACATGGTCAAAAATATTGGTGCTAAAGATTCACAGGCATCAGAAATACTTCGCAATCTTCTGATGAAAGCTGAAACTAGGATGAAAGAATACAACTGGAAACATGATTTCTTTGAACCCGGAAAACACACATTTACCGATAAAACTTCTACAAATTCAAAGTTACCGTATCCTTCCGGTCTTATTCAAGATCAGGGGAAAAAAGTATCAGCACCTGTACGTTACCTTCGTACGACTACATCTTCTTTAGATAATTCAGTGAAGAGAATGACTAAACTAGTTCGTGCACTTCGATATACAACAAATGTCAAAGCTGTATTTCAAATGACTAACTCAAAGACATCTGTTCTTTGCGAGAAATGTTTGCTTGCTATTACTAATCCAAAAGATAGTATGATTCTAGGCAGCTGTGGTCATATTATTTGCAGGAGCTGCAGCCTTGAGGCATCAGGTAATTGCACTGTTATAGAATGTGGAGCAGCCTATCAAAGCCATCAGCAGTATTCAGGTGAAGAATTTCTCATAGCGCATCGGAGTCCGGATGAAGAAAAATTAGGTACCAAAGTTGCTGACATGATTCGATATCTGAAAAAAGTTCCAATGGAGGAAAAGATCTTAATATTTGTCCAGGAAGAGACTGCTATCGAAAAGATAATGGTGGCCCTAACTGAAGCTCGACTTGCAGCTGTTTTCCTAGGTGGCCGCAACCCTGCTTCGATAATTGATAACTTTCAAAAGGGGAATCCCATAGGTGATGCTCTCGGTGGCCCTAAAACCGAGCGGTCTATTCTTATTTTGAATATTGGGGACTCATCTGCGGCTGGAAGGTAAGTTAATCGATCAGAGATTTCTAATTTTGCAATGAACTGACTACAAAAAGTAACCTCACAATCGCCAATCATGTCATTTTTTTTGCGCCTTATTTTACGACCGGCTCCAGTGCGTTGCAGAAATTTAACCATGCCATGGAGCAAGGCATTGGTCGTGCTGTCCGATATGGACAGACTAGAAAAGTACATATTATTCACTTTCTAACCAGTCGGACACATGATGTTGATCTATTTGAGCATCGCAAGCGCTGCCAAGTAGTTATATCTGATGCAAGCCGCCCTAATCGGGCGAAAATAGTCAAGCGATCATATGTCGATGGCGCTCCAAACGCCAACGAGCTTGCGAAGGCTGAACATTCGAGTCTGACATGGTATATGCACGAACATCTATGATCTTAAAAAACAAACTGTTGTGGACTTTCGCGCAGACCATCAGAAGGAATCAACGAATTGTATTCCATAATGAGAGCCAGGATTTCAAGGCAGTTAGTTTCTGCAACTCCTCCCCCATATCATGTGACTATAAATTAACTTCACCACTTGAATATCTTTCATATAATAGCGAAGTAAGTTCTTAATCGACGGAACTAGGTATCAGTTCACTTCCGTTAATCTAATCAATAAGAGAAATTATAATGCGAGGGTCAGATTCTGGAGAATTTGTACGGCTGGTAAGGAGTTCATGGTTTGGAAAGAACGCTTCATAGAGTAGATAAAGGTTTTGGTGTGGTGTGGTGTGATGTGGTCAATCTTTACAGTTCTAGGACTAAATAGAAACCAAGATTTAATAAAATAATTGTTTTGAATCCCGCATTTATTCAGATATTAAATATATGTGTGCCACGTGACAGGCAAATAATGTCACTTGTAGTACTACACAGTTTGTTTTTAGACACATGCCCATAAATTGACGCTTGGGCGACGCGCATTAGGACATCTACTAGCTTCACGGTCCGGTCACGGCGACTTCGCGGACTACCACCGACAGTTTCAGCATGAAAACGCCATTCTAACCTGCACATGCGGAGAAGAGAAGTCCCCTAACTGTTGTGGTTATGAGCTATGCGGAAGTCACATTGCGGAGTGATGAGGAGTGGATGATGTTATAATTAGTTGTTGATTGTGAATAGATTCATACAATATTGTGCTGTAGGTATATGGACAGAAAATATAAGACTAAACCTGTATCCATTTATTGTGGGTACATCTATGAAACTGTCTAAATATGTATATAGTTCATTTTACCTGATTTGGCGCCTTGAGGCCCATGCAGGTTTTAATCGGAAGATATGTACTTTAAGTAGGATGACTCAATTAGACGATTAGAACACTCACACTCAGATTTCATTTGCAGATACCACTCGAGTTAACCCTTACGGCGTATAATCTCTTCCGTGCATAACCACCACAGGGAAAAGCGTGAAAAACCTGTGGCTATCCGAGTGTACTTTCATCATCCCACAAGTACGATATCACCGCGAGAGAGAGTGGTGTGTGGGTCTGACTGGATTCGAACCAGCTTTCTCCTGTCTCGAATGGGGTAGGTGTTCAAGCTACCCAGTATCTACTTGGGAGAACGGCCCGGATGGTGTACCACTGCACCATCCAACCCAAATGAAACTATGTACATGCTCGCCTAACTAGTACACTAGTGATATCTGCTGTGGCCTTGAGCCACACGCGATGACCTAGCCTCAACTACCTCGTTGTCTCATATCATAACACTCCCCTTGTTAGTAACGACCATGATACCTGGATATGGATGTTAGTTTATAAAGACAAAGATTTGACTTTTGTTATTCTGTCAGCTAGCTGGCTCGCGGACTGGACATATGACACTATGATATTTCATTCCTGATACTATTCTTTGGCAGTAGAAAGTTATGAGGGTGATATACATTGACTGCTTGTGGTTATCGTAATTTTGTTCAGTGAAATGACTGATTGGTTGTCGACGTATAACGCAGTACATTCAGCTTCCTCCAAAAGGTTCGTGATTGTCACGGTTTCATTACAAAATGCATGAGCAATGTTGTAGGTACAATATTTTAATTATAATTCTCTGAAGAGAGAATTTCTGTACTTAATGACTACCTTTATATACAGACTGAAATACCCCTCCTCGATAAGGTTCTCTCTATGACTTGTCAACTCAGACTCTCCGACAATCGCCTGTAGATCCTTGATACTTCTGTAACCCTCATGAACTCTCAGTAGGTTTCAAAAAGGCTCAATGTGAATCATCTGGGTTCCCTGTCATCCAAGATCTTCCCAGGAACCTCCCTTCGTATAATTGCCTGCGCTAGACAGCGTAGGCTACGGGAACCCTTAGGCTTGACAGCCGTCACAGTGATATTCAATTCTTGTAATGAGGAATTCAGTCGTTGAAGTTGAGGCCATGTTTTTGTTGTCACAAGGTACTCTGCCTCTGTGGTGTAGATGACAACTTGTCGTTTCGTGTGTAATTCCCTCTATATTGGACCGAATCTGAGTTTATAAAACTTGCCTGATGAAAATCGGCAGGCTGATGGATCAGGTTCTAAATGGGCACCTGAATATGTTTCAAGAATTGCTCGTCCTTTTTGTTACGGTTTGATCGTGGTTTAGCTTAGGTGGAGACCTAAGTGGAGTTTGGGGACGTATTGGGAGAGTGTTACATTTTATCTTGTATTAAGCGACTAAGTTTCACATGGCCACATTACATTGGAGCTAGAAAGGAATGTGAGACGGCAAATTAGAATTGCCAAGTGAGAGAGTTAGCTAGATGGCAAAGATGACGACGGGCAGTGGCGGAGTAATATGTCATTCTCACCAACGGAGTACGTACTGGATGAGCTGGAAGGATGTACAAATAGTCATTACCCCTAGTTGTGGTACTTTTCTCTTCATATAGTCTAATATTTCTAAAAGTACACTACAACCAGCCTGGTTTCGTCACGCTTACATTGTTGTATGGGAGGTCGTATTCGTTGGATTGTGGCTACTCCTGAGTCGTCGAAGAGCCTGGAGCCAGGCTTTGGGCTGGCGTCCCTGGGGAATAGAGCCACTCAAGACCTGTAGGGAGCCCCGAGCTTGGTTTTTCCGTGAATCCTTACTCGTTCTGGAGCGCAGTTGGTGACTCTGAAGATCTCCGCAGCCACCATTTCGGTAGTGACTTCTATTCGTCCTTCGGAGCCGAAAACTGCGACTGGAACAGTAGCGGTCCGGAGGAAAATTAGATCACATGGAGGTTCTAGTTTTGCCTCCAATTGTACGAAGGTACTGGAGGTCTTGAGCAGTCGGGTTTTTGCGTCCGCATTTTTGGCACGGATGACAAAACCAGTAGGGACGCGTTGAACTTGGTCAACGTCGGCAGGGGTGAATTTTGTCTGTTTCGCGACTGCTTCGCGAATGCCAGCTGGAGAGAGGTGTCTCCACTCGTGGTTTCATCAAGTCGTAGAAAGAGTTGATCGTCTTGCGACGTCGATATCACTACTTTCTTCTCTAGCTTTCTAGCAGCCGGAGCAGCTGCGCCCGAGTTATTTTTCGCGGGAGTCTGTGCACTTGTCTTATGGAGACCAGCACGGTTAACAGTGGCCCAGGTGCTTCTGGACGGGGGCGATGCAACTGCAGTTGCGATGGTTTGTTGAACGGCCACTGGTGTGACGGTGGCAGTTTAAGTCACGACTGTTGGTCGATGTGTGAAGATTAGTGGAGTTGTGCTCGCCCCAGCAACCACAAATCGTGCAATTGCTGCTCGTAGGTAGACTTTGATAGATTCTACCAAATTCTTGTTTTCGCCTGTGGAAAGTGGTGCAAGGAACGCCTTAATACCATCAATAGCCGTTGAGTAGATGGTAAATTGTGCGGATTTCCGCGTTGCCCGGCGCTCCTCCGATTCTATCATTACAAGCAGTTCCGGGGGGTATGAGTCTACTATGGTAGCCACTTCTGACGATGGAACCAGTGGGACTCGAGGTAGGCTCTCGGTACCTGATGCCTTGTTGGTTTTTATCTCTGCCCCTTTTGAGGGCCCCACTTCTACAGGTCGCGGAAGTGCTGGAACCGTGGCGCGCTTTTCGGGTGCGGCGACGGTTTTACTGTAGGTATCTGCGAGCTTTGGGGTTTTTTTTTTTTTTTTTTTTTTTGCATCAGATTTTAATTGCGTATGCAGCTATCTAGCTATGACACAATATCAGAGAAGTGTATGATAGATGACTCAATTTACAAGAAGAGCACTCATGCCTCGGATTTCATTTGCAAGTACCACTGCGAAGTTATGGTGGCTTTTTCTTCACCCCAAGTCAACCCTCATCCGTGAATACCCACCCAGGGGAACATCTCAAAAACCCTGGGTTATCCAGACATGCCTCCATCATCTTTCAACCTTTCTCCGCGCGATATGTGATCTGAGGTGTCTCCTTCCCAAGTGGAGTAGGTGCCCAGGCTACTCAAACTATACCAGAGAACACCACCAGGAGGCGGACCACAACACCTTCCATCGTTTGCTTGTTTTTATAGTGTCAACTGCACTCTCGCAAGCGAAGTCTTGGCGCGCACAAAGCCCAATTCGAAAAACTCCTTGCCAAAATTCGGAATTTCACGCCCTTCGAGGTTTTATCCTTCCTTCGTATCATCATGTCGACTTATCCTGATTCCTCTCAAGTCCATCTCAAATAACTATCTCCCAGATTTGTGCGCCACGCTTTACTTCCTCCGTCGGGTATAAATATCGGCGTGGGCGTGTATTTGGCGGTCAACTGAGGCCAGAGAAGGTCGAAGAGCGGTGTGGTCATCGGGATGAGGATGTACTTGGTCGTACTTGTAGACTTGATGAGACGAAGATAGGAGTCAAACTCGTTGGGAGCGAAACAACGACGTGGATAAGTAATTTGGATTTTTGCCTCGTGGGCCAACTTCTTTGATATTGCGAAATTTGACTGAACTTGGCTCTGGGAGAATATTTCACTCCCAGGTTCGTAGAGGACACCGCGTACAGGTGTTCAGTCTTGCCCTCCGAGCTTTGGGTTTATTTCTGCGTCTTTAGGGATGGAGAAAGCCCATTTCGAGTCTCAAAGAGTTTTTAACTTCTCGACTTCAGTATCCACCATCTCTACCTCGGGGACATAGTTGTCCTTCGCTTGGAGCGTGGCCGCAATGACGTTCATATTTTTCTCACTAATCTCGAGTCCTCTGCTCGTTAGCTTGGTTATGGCGTGATCTCGTATTGCGCCGTTCCATCCGTATGGTTTGTTGACGCGATCTTTGATAATGCCGCTAATCGCGCTTTGGTGCGTTTCTCTCGTCGGAGGCATTTTGGATGCCGCCGATGGCAAACAATTTCTATGGATTTGTTTGCCACTAGGTGAGGCGGATATAAGGGTGAAAATGGGCAATGTGAAAATTTCTCGAAT